ACTCGTAACTTCAGTACAGCATCGTAATCGGCGATGTAATTAAATGAAGCTTTACAAGTTGCTTCCTTATATATGGTTCGTGTAAGCATTGGTTGTTACAATCGTATTAGTCTGAAGTGTCAGCCGCCTCCTCGCTCCAACCCCTCTGTGGGGCCAGGCGAGAAGGACGTCTGAAGGCCGAGCGTTATAATGTCGTCCGATGACGTCACGTACTCTTGTGGAAATGGTAGGTAGATTTTGATTGGTTATCTATCTAATTGGTTCCCGATAATATAGATGACTGTTTCTTATTGGTCACAAAAAGGCAAAAGCTGTCAAAGTATGCCGGCGGGAGGTGTGAACGTGGTGCAAGGAAAAATTGTAATAAGCACGTACGCCGAACTCAGAAGTAATGTTCCGGTTTCCCGATGTGTTAAAATATACGCAGAGTGTTTTCAATTTGTCATAGAAAATGAGCATTGTTTCCAACTAGAAATGTCATCCAATTTGAATTGAATTGCTCCAGATTTGAAAATACTTCAGTTCGATGTACTGTCGTGGGCCATACACATCAAGGAGAACAGCATAGTTAGCGCGCAAGGCAAATTCAGTGCCAGCGCATTACACAAGATGTCGATCGCTCTTCATTCCCCACAAAACAATCCGTTGCTACGATCATTCCCGACAATAATGATTACTGTCGGGAATGATGGTAGCAACGAATTGTTTTGTGGGGAATGAAGAGCGATCGACATCTTGTGTAATGCGCTGGCACTGAATTTAACTTGGCCGACAGAGAAATGCTCAGTCGGGTGTACTTTTATCGATTTGTTTGCAAATTGAAATTAATGCTACATTGTCATAAATTAGAGCGTGACGTCACCGGACGACATTATAACGTCCTTCTCGCCTGGCCCCACGGGGGGTTGGAGTGAGGAGGCAGCTGACACTTCAGACTACAATCTTATGACTTGGCAAACTCTACCATGTGTAGAAATACAATAAGAACGGAAAATATTCTGTTTGAAGTTAGCGATTACTACTTTAAAATTCTGCTTACTTCCGAAATTGCTTTGTTGCAGAAAAGTGACTGACAGCAAGGGTTAACTCCCCTTGAATAGAACAGTTTTAAAAATATATGTTCAGCTGGAAAACTACCGTAGGAAGAAATACCTAACAAAGAAATTTCAATGCGAGCGTAAGGCTCAAAAGGACAGCTGACTCAAATACTGATTTTTAGAATAAAAGGACGGCCATGTTCAAAAGTGCAGGTGTACTAGTGTACAAAGGACGCAGCAATGTTCAAAGTACAATGTCCATATTGAATAACAAATAAATGAAACTTCCAGTTTTGCTGCATTTAAAAAGGAACCTACTGTTGGCTTTTAAAAAGGTTTTAAAACACTGAACACGGATAAACATAGAAATTATTGAAAACGGTAAATCCTCTCATGACAGTATGCCGAAGATCTTTTGCGTGGAGCTAGGTTTTTTATGCCAACTTTTGGCGTATTTCACAGGGCTTTTTTCTTGCTGTAAGCGCTGACGTGGCGTAAATCCGAAACATTCTAAACAAAAAACTAACCTAAACAATTTTAACATTGCTTATGGTACATAAACAGTGGCGGAACCAGACCTGTTTATAAGGAGGGAGCCCAAAAAATTTTCCGCTCTTTCAGGCCTTAAAGTTAAGTAGAGGCCCAAACAAATTTCGATTCATAGCCATCTCCATTTCTCCATTCTCGTGGGTACAGGTTTAAATATAAGAGCGCTGGCGTCGGCCGGCGTGTGGCATATTAGAAAACTTTTTACGGCCGGCTGGCGGAACGATTTTTTAGGCAAAACCCGCGGCGTAAAACCCGGCGTAAAACTTTGGCGTATGAAATACGAACTTTCCAGTATGCGTATTAAAGCGCAAAAGCCCGTCTTTTAAACCCACGGGGCTTTTTATTGCTTCTAACACTGTCATGCATTGAATAATTCCCGATGCAAAAACGACGATTTGGCTAAAAAATCGACGATTTGTTTAAAAAAAGCGACGACATCGAAGACTGGAGGTACTGTACCCATACTGTACCCATAGATCAGAGAGGCTCAAATATAGAAATGCACACCAAAGAGGCAAAGAAACCCTAGAAAAACGTGTTTCGCGGGCAAAATTTGATTAAATAAGAAAAAGGAATATCTAAGAATACTTACAAATCAATATCTACTGGACTTGTGGAGTCAGAAATCACTTCCGCAGTTGTTCCCGCTTTTTGCCTACGAGCCGACATGTTGTTTACGCGACCACGAACGACACGTGTAACTCAGCGGACTACTTCATGAATTTCTATCGCTCTCTGTTATTGGGTAGCTGCGCTCGAATACAGAATGAACCAATCAGGGTAAAGCTACTATTTCGACTCCAGCACAAAATCAAAGATGGAGACCAAGAAAGATTCGGAGGAAAGATTACGTGAATTGTGCTGTATCGGCGACGAAAGAAATGTGAAACTGCTCGTCGAAAGAGGAGTCAGTATTAATGCAGCGAATGCAATGAACGGCTGGACACCTTTACACTGGGCAGCGAAAAGAGGACACGTAAACATTGTGAAACATCTAGTCCAGGAAGGGGGCGATACCACAGTGCTGACAAATAAGGGGGAGACTGCAGCTCAACTATCCAATGACACCGGTATTAAACAGATGCTTGGGGAAGGAGACAGTATGGACCTAAACACAGCCAATCAAACTTTACCTATTGTGCCGAATTATCTTCGAAATCCGAAGTTTTTCTATGCAGAGAACGACGATTCTAGGAAATTGGGGTACAGAGGTACAGAGCAATCAAACACAGAGAACCAAACATTGTCTTTTGTAAATGGACAACAGCAGGACGACAACCCTTCAGCTAATTCAAATTATTGTGCTGCACAACCAGCAGAGGAAATTGTGTTAAAGTTGCGAATTGCAGACTCGGAGGAAAATGACTTTATAGAAGTTGATCTGGACAAAAGTAACCTGACATTTCGAAATCTCGAGACTGTGTGTTACGAAGAGCTGGGTATTGAGGCGAAGAATATTAAGAAAATAAGGAAATTGCCGAACACTATTGTTAGAAATGATAAAGACATGAAAAGACTGCTACCATACCAAGAACTGGAGGTAGTGTTGACTCCAGGAATTGCAAGTTATTAAAGATAATTTTAATACAGTCCATACTGCACAATCTCCGCCTGCAATGTTTATATGAGTCTCATACAAAGGAATGTTTACTAGCCAAATTAAAAATTCCGGGACAAACTTATCTTTATCTTCATAATTAATCCCAGATACATGTATCCTTGCCAAACAATAATAACGAGTAGAAGAACCTCAACGTTATCCCAAACCGACATTTCAGCTCATCGAACATTCCTTAACATAACGACCCGTAATGGCGGACTCAAAAACTTCATGTACGCTTTTACCGAAGTGTAACATATCAGCAAATTCAAAACAAAAATGAAAACAAACCCTGAGGCTGCGCAGTACGGACTGTTAATCATCTTTAAGGTTAATTTGATTATTACCATCGATCTCATTAAATGTCCTCTGAATGGTTTGCAAAAGATTTCTGTCAATCATACATGGTCATACCTTATACGGAAGTGGTTTCGCTCGCGGTAAAATCAAACACTTCCATATAAGGTATGACATATGATAGACAGAAATATTTTGCCAGCCTCTCTCTCAGAGGAGTTTTGATTTAAAAGTTCGCAACAGTGAAATTAATGGTAATAATCACCTGTAAACATGGAGATGTTGATACTAATCACTTCTGTGAATACCAACTGAAATAATATCAATAAAATAATCTGGTTAAATTCATCCAGATCTCCAAGATGGCAGGTTTACCACTGAATATTGCCCAGAAAGTATTTTGTAGTACATGTATTTTGGTTAAAAATAAAACTTCAATTTTTCAGGTTACAGTCATTTATCACTACAGTTGAAACTCCTGTAAGCAGACATCCTTGAAAAAGTATCGACTAGGGAGAGGTGTCTGGGAGGGTAAAAATGTAGTGTTTGTATGTACCTGGGACCTTGGCTAAGAGTCCACTTACGGGAGGTGTCCACCTATGAGTGTCTTTGTGGAGGTTTTCGCTGTTATTTTCTGACTAAATTTCATTTCAATGACCTAAAGAAAGCAAAATCAGATATAGTGCACTCTAATGAAAATTTTTTGGGCCCCCACCTTATAGACAGGTCTGGATCTGTCAGTGCTACCTAGTTGGTTAACCTGCGATCAGGCAAATTTTTCCACGCTTTCATTTACTATTCACCTTTAAGTGGTCATGCGAAAAATTGGCTTGATTGCAGGTTATAGTAGGTCAACAAAAATGAACCTTCACTAGCACAAGCCAGTGGTACAAGTGCTGATTTATAAATCCTTGTAGAAGATAATAATTATTATTCACACAGACATTAAAAACAATCCAACCTCCCAATAGGCCAATTCCGAGTTGCCATTTGCCTCTGTTTCAAAATGAGTCCTGGTGCACAACCTTTCTTATGGAAATGAGTTTTACTGCAAGGGTAGCTTGGCATGACTTGTTTCTTACCACTTCTCACTATGCTCTTAGATAAACTGTAAACTTCTCACTCTGCTCATGATAAACGGCAAGGCAAGTGTATATACCGAAAATCCTTGAATAAGCACCCGGGGCCCCTTCGAATAAGTGCCGCCATGGAATCATGAAATTTAAAATATAAACCCACCGCTCTCCTTAAAAAGTGGTCAAAACGAATCTATGAAGTAAGAGAAGGCAGAATTACTTCAGATTACTTGCCGAAAATAAAATTTTATACAAATACAACTGGTTCAATAATGGACTTGACAAGGGAAAACCTGAAATTTGAAATAAGTGCCCTGGGTGCTTATTCAAGGATTTTCGGTAAGCAAAGATAGCTTGACTTGACTTGTTTCTAACCACTTCTCTAGGACTGGACAATCCAACCAAACTAAATATGCACATCTACCATATATCTCTCACGAGTCTCCTGAAGCTCAGTGGCGGAGCATCCAACTGGTGTGCGGAAACTCGTAGGTTCGACTCCTGTTGGGAGAACTCAGAATTTTTTTTTTCAAGTAGCTTGTGTCACTGACTGATCAGAACATCCTTCTCGTGTACCATACGACTGGTAAATATTGCCTCTGAACAGTTACACTGTTGAGCAACCTCGTCCCCAGGGCCATCTCCGCTTTCAAGATGGCAGGTGGGCACGAAGAAGACCCTGGCGAAGAGCAGGTCACGTGACCACAATTTAGCCAATCACGAGCCCGCCGCTATTTTGAAACATTCAAAATCTCCAATATTTTTGGAGACACGTGACCTGCTGTTCGCCAGGGTCTTCTTCTCGCCCACCCGCCATCTTGAAAGCAGAGATGGCCCTGGGGACGAGGTTGACTGTTGAGCACCTGCCTGTACAACAATTGGTAACAGGTGGAAAATATTTGTCTCCACTAGAAAACAAATAAAATAAAAACAAATTAAAGAGCATTTGTTGTTGAAACGAAGAAACCTTCTTTCTCCTCACTTGCCTTGTTTTATTTAGATAAAGGTTAATTATCGATATATCAAAACAAAGCGAGGTCTACTACTGTATTTCGAAATATATTAAATATAAACAACGTATCTGTAGTGTTCTTAAGCTAGTCCTGGCAGACTTTCTTGAAAGATTCGAGAAAGTCAAAGTATTCGACTGGCAAAACATCTTTGCCGGCTAAGCAGTGGTCTAAGTATTCACTCCGTGGAACTAATCCGTCCTGATAAAACTCGTCGGTTACGATATAAGTCGCCGCTTCTACTTGTTCTCCGTCTAAAGTCTCCACTGTCACTCGTTTCCCGACGATAACAACCTTGGGTGACCATTTCAAAGACGTCCAGTTTATCTAATCCACCATCTTCAAGAGTGTACAATGCTCCATGGACAACTGAGCTTTTCTCCGGCCTGATGTTACCAGAGCCGCATCCATCAGTTCTACGAAAAGAAAAACTCATCTTGTAGTCGGACAATTTGGCCCCAACTCGAGCGGTGAAGAAGGCTTTTCGTTCCCTCATCCGATTTGGGTTCATGTTCGAGCCGAAAGCGAAGTACATCTCTTTGGCTGTCATGGATCCGTTGAGGTTTCTCCAGAAGAAAGTTAGACTGAGGTTAGCTGCTTTTGAAGGCAGAGATCCTTTCAAAGCACGAGTAAAAGCACTGACCTGCATTCGTGTCAAATACCGCAAGGCATTTCCGCACTAATAAAACATACCAAAATAGGGTGGTATATCACGGTAAAATCCGGTGGAAGATGTATCAAAAGGTGTCGTGTTCTACCATGTAGATTATCGAGTATTTATCAAGACTCTTATCGACTATTAATGCACTGTATAGAGGTAAAAACCTTACAAGCTGTATCTTTCAACTTAATTTAGTCAAGCAGACCATCTCTAAGGCTATAATTTTCGGCGTGGTTATTTTTAACGTAAAATGCCATCCGCTCACCATGGTGTCCAATACAACAAACGGATAATTCATTTAATTTAGTTTGACTAATTCGATCTTCGAATATACAGAACGATTCAGTTGTAATTTCACGGAAATTATAAATTTGCTTAATGTGTGTACATGATGTACTTCAATGTAAATTACGTTTCTCGAACCTCCCGCTATAAACTCTAATGAATTTTCCCTTCAGGTCATTTCCTTACTAATTTTATCCTCAATAACACAAACGAGTTCTTCACTATTTCCCTTGAAGGTTCGAGTTATCGGGAGTCAACTGTATTTCCCGGCCACTTAAAACCTATAAAGCAGTGACACCAGCGTGGTTACCTTTAGCTGAGTACACTCTGCGTCAACTCTGCGTACTTTGCTACTATAAAATTATGGAACAACCTGCCTGACTTTGTAAGATCTCTAGCTAGCTATAAAGACTTTAGTTAATTCTCACTTATTTTTTATATCCATACTGATCACAATGCGTGTGAGTTGGCAGGTATAACATCTTATACATTTTATAGTAGTCATATAGCTTTATAATTTTTAGACTTTTTATAAAGATACCAACATGTAAATATTTTAATTTATCTTTTTGTTATTTTGTGGCATAACTAGCTGGTGCTTCCCTGCAGAATTTACTCGTCAAGTCTGTATACCAGTAGGACGCACCGTGTAAATAAAGTGTAAATAAACTATCATCTGTTGTAAACGGGATATCTTAGCCACAATAAACTGTTAAAGACAACGTCTAACATAATAATAATATAATAATAGCTTAGTTAAGAATCACCTTTAAAATGAGAAACCAGTGATTTTATAATGATTTTGAATAAAAAAACATAAATGAGATAAAATTTATAAAGGTTAAATTCGCGCCTATAAATAAAAGATGAGCCTTACCGCCCTTTAATTGGAATAAAATATTATTTTTGTATGGGACATAGGAACGATTATTTTATCGTTTACTTTTTATCTTAGGTCATATTTGTGGTCTACGGCCTTTTGAATAAAACGCCTACACGGGTGAGATTCGGACTCTACAATATATGCTGGTATGCGAACTTAGTAAGATTCGTGGAACTCCTGTATATGGTCCTATATCGTTTTTTCAGGTATCGTGGTAGAACACGATGCAGCGTCTTGTAAACACCTCTTCACCATGCTTTTTACATAAGTGTTCCATTTCAGATCGCTTTGCACGTTTACACTAAGTAGTTTAAAACGCGTGCAGTGACTCTCTCAAGCTCCGTGCCTCCGATGCTGACAGGGCGTCATGAAACTTGTCCAAAGCTTTTGTTTTGGGGGTTTAGTACCATTTTGTTTTCGTCAGCCCTACACGCGATTCATGACTTCTTGCCGAATATTTAAACAAAGTCTAAGTTAGACGAATGAAGCTAAACGGAGTCTAAAGTGCAATTACAACGTGAATAATGTTTAAAAAACTATCTGAACTGCTAGATTAGTAATTAATTATGAAGAAACTTATGCAACTAACTATTGAAGGAAACTCAGTAATTTCCTGGAAAACTAGAAATATCTACACTACTTAAGATATTTTATCTATAGACAATAATGGCAATTTCCATTCGCTATTTGAAATTGGTAAATGGTTTCTGTTTTACCTTTTAATATGCCGGAAAAGAAAAATCTTTAATCCTGTCATAAATGCGTTGCAAACATGAACTACCAACTAATCTTTGGAAAAAACGACAACTTGCCTACAGCGACAAAAAAAAAATCGGATTGATTTTGTCAGTCTAAACCGTTGATGAAATTTTTATCCTCGTATTCTTCTAGACGATTTACTGTTATATACTAAGAAAGAGAACAGCTGATATAAGTGAAAGGATAGAAACGTAAGCATTAATTGCATTAGTAATTAGTCATGTTCATCAAAGACTGTTCATGTGTGAGCTTTTTTCCCAAAAACCCCACAACACTTATTTCCTTTTTCTTAACTCAAAATATGTTAACAATTTAAGGATACATCATGTATTTAAATTTGTTTTAAATTTGACAGCATGAGTCTCTCAAACTATCCCAGTATTGAAAATGTTTACCCACTTACCGGCAGTCCACTATATTGAAGTACAGTTCAGCGGTGAGTTTTAGACTACACGAAATAACATGAACGTTTGAAAGCATACAGTCTCTCAAACTGTCCCAGTATTGAAAATGTTTACCCGCTTTACTTTATCATGAGATAATTCTTGGCCATAGCAATACCGGCAGTCCACAATGGTAACACATTTTAAAATGTTCTTGCAGAATCGATACATAATATTGAAGTATAGTTCAGTGAGTTATTTAAAATCCGAAGGTTTGTAATGGGAACCACAGAATAGCTGAAAATAGATATTTTAATTCATTGGCGATAAAGTGTAATGACTTGTTCAGACAAAAGACACTGGTTCGTTCTTGACTATTTCCTACGGGAAAGGTTTTAATAACGAGGGAAAATTTAATGCCATAGCTTAAATAGGAAGCATATTACGAATCAAGAGTTAATATGTGAGTGTGTGCAGTGTGCGGAAGGTCATAGGTTCGACTCCTGTTGGGGGAACTCGGAATTTTTTTCCGAGTAGCTTGTGTCACTGACAGAATAATATCTTTCTCAAGAGTTAATATCTATCCCGGCTAAAACATGAAAAGCGCAGTGAGATAGAGCTTTATGCCGTCAGTTTCAGAGAAAGGTGGATTTTTTGCTAGCGCTGGCTCTTAGACACATGGTGAGAAAAACGCAATTTTAGCACAATCTCACCACATAAAAATAAGGCCATAAAGTTGCAATTATTTTGGACTACCCGAAATAACGTGAACCTCATTCCCGACGGTTCTCTCATCTCGCCAACTGCCCAAGTATTGGAAATTTTTAAGTGATACTGTGTATGCAATAGGTCTTGGCCCTAACAATGCCTGCATACCAAAAGTAGTTTTGCTGGAATGGTGGAGTATATTGAAAGATTATTGGAAACGTTACTTTAAAACACTCTTAAGATATACAACAGGGGATATACAATAAAAAATTAGAGGCAGAGTGAAAAGAGACTGGGTCGCTTACTATTTCCTTTCCTACGATCTTCATGATTACCGTCATTAATACAGATACGAATTTTTGCAGTGCCTACTTGTAGCTCGCATCAACTTTTTAACCCTCGTGAAATGTAACTAGTTCAAGTATTTTACTCAGTTCCTGTAGTTCTTATAGTTCGTGTATTTCTTGTAGTTTCTGTAGTTTCTATAGTTCTTGTAGTTCTTGTAGTTCTTGTAGTTTGTGTAGTTCTTGTAGTTCGTGACGCTTTACGAGATAGAAATGCAAGAACTACAAGAACTACAGGAACTAGAAGGCGAACCACAGGAACCGGCTACAGGAACTACAAGGACTACAGAAACTACAGACGAACTACAAGAACTACAGAAACTACAGGAACTATACACAAACTACATGAACTACAGAAATTACAGGGACTACTGGAACTACAGGGACTACAACTGGAACTACACGAACTACTAGAACTACATAAACTACGGGAACTACACAAACTACGGGATCCGGAACCGCTACAGGAACTAATAAAAA